ATGGCTGCTTAGGTAGATCCAGATTTATAAAACTGAAATGACTAATGTTGCTGCAATGCAAAGCTGTGGAGGTAAACATTACATTCACCAACCTTTCTCCAGCTCTTCATCCCTTTCGTCCACGTAGACGCTTCTCTTCTCACATTTCCTCTCCATGGACAAGTCATGGCTGAACTTGCACTTGTCGCCTTTCGTACACTGGCCCTGCTTAAAGAAGGCGCACAGCACCGACTTTGGATCAACACCTGCACAGAACATAGAAGGAGAACAGATCAACAGACATGAGTTGGGCAAACATCCACCATGTTTGGTTGAAGCCAGATTGAGGGCTGCACCCCATAAACAATCGTCTGTTACCTTTACTGACTTTCTGAGCAGCGACTACGGGCTTAAACAGCTCATTGAGTTCATCCAGCTCTTTCTTCTTGTCAGACTTCTTGCCGGTCTTCTCTGCCTCTGCCATCTGCGCATAGATGCAGTGAAACAGCAGAATGAGGCACCGTTCAGCCATCTTTACAATCATTGTATCAAGAATGGACATTTTCACCAAAGCAAAAAAAACAAAGCACCAGAATAGGCGGCTGTATTCTTACAATGATCACATTCTCCACTTACCTGTCGGGCACTTTGTTGTCCATATTTGACCTGCTGCGTCACGTTCTTAATGAACTTCTGCTGTTTGGCGCCTTTTTTGTTCTTCAAGCCAAAAGTTTTGTCCTGAGAAGAAAAAAAAAGTAGAAGAAGATTGGGAAATAGTCTTGGTTCTGAAAAAAGCTGATCACCTTCAGCTGTGGTGGAACCGTTAAAAAACCCAGATTAGAAACAATTTTAAGTGAAGCGTTTAAGCAGCACCGGATGACAATAGAAGCCTTCAGTTTGTTTTTTCATTTGCTGCTCCATCGAAAAGTCAACAACAGAAAATAAGAAATAGCTGCAATCTCTTTGGCCTTGAAGTTCTTTAGATCAGTCAGCAGGAATCCATAACAAAAGCATAAGTTTTATAGGGATCCAGTCCTTTAAAAACATCACCATTCTGGGTAAATGACATATGCTAGGTCCTGTAGCGCTAGCGCTGTTCATCCACACCAGCAACGAGCAACCTTAGACCCTTCCAGTTTGAACCAGAGCGCGTTGACATTGATGTGAACATGAAGAAGAGGATGACCAAAAAGGAGGAAGGTGTTTGAGCAGCTGCTCAAAGATTGTTTTTTTAAACCATCCGACCATTAATTCTTTATTCATCTGAGTTTTCACATTTGCAAACAGACTTTCGTTGTTCTCCGATGGGAGAGATAGAGATACCAGCATTACATGATTTATGTTGATTTTAAATCATGATTTCTGAGGCAATGCTAGTTTATTTCTAAAGCATATTTCAGTGGCAAGAATATTCAAAGAAAAATGTACATGAGAAAAAGTTAATTACAGCAGCATATAGAAAACACAAATAAAGGGAATAAAAAGTGTCATTAAAATAAGACTATATTAAAAATATAAAATGATTAAGAAAATGGAATAAAAGATAGAAACTAACAGAACTTTCATATTTAGAGCATGCATTTTATTGTATTTATGGCCCATTATGTTGTTATAGTTCATGCTTGGAGTCAAATATGTTTTCTTTTCAATTCAATTCAATTCAGTTTATTTATATAGCGCCAAATTCACAACACATGTCATCTCAAGGCACTTTACAGTTCAACCAGATCATCCAGTCAAATTGATACAAAGTTTTCTATCTAAGGAAAACCAGTTGATTGCATTGACTCATTGACTCAAATACAATCCCCCACACTTTTAAACATTAAGGAATAATACGAATATTTCCCCGTTTTCTAAACTCTAAATGCGCATTCAGACGAAACGCGGTGTGGATTATCCCTAAGCAAACTTAGTGGGGAAGAGCGGTGAACGGCCAGCTGTCAATCAATGTTGAACTTTTCTATGAAAATGCGTCGTTGCAACCAATCAGGGACTGGTTGTTGTTTTGATGTAGGTTAAAAAATTGAGAAAGGATAAAATAAGGAATGCTCTGAAGACGTTTTTTAAGTTAGGCCTAGAAGGACTGCTCATCATCCTCCTTTACCTCCAGCACAGACCCGGTCTGTTGCTGCCCCTTTGCTTTCTGTGCAGGTAAATCTATAAGTGTGTACAGTCGAATCAGACCGTCTTCCAGGTGCAGCTCAGGATGAACCAAAGTCATCTACTTTTTCAGTGCTTCTGGTGTTCTGTCAGAACAGCATACGCTGTCAGATCATCACACATTGTTCTAACAAGCATGCTCACAGATGCGCAACAGAGAATTTTTTCTACTTAGAATTTGAGGAGCAGTGTACCGACCAGCAAACACACATTTAACTTTTGAAAAATAATATCAGTTTGTGTAAACTGTTATTTCTTGGATGCAGAAATGGCCAGATATGTTTGAAGTTTGAAGCCTCTATAGCTATATTAGTCAATAATAATTTAAAATAAGTTACTCTAGTAGTAAGAAGTGGAGTGTGGGTATTTACATTCTGTTTGATTTTGTTTTCATGTTTAAAATCAGAATTGATTTAGTTAGATAAAAACCTAAGCATATGCTGATCTGACAGCGTAGGACGATCTGACAGCGTAGGACGATCTGACAGCGTAGGACGATCTGACAGCGTAGGACGATCTGATAGAACACCGGCCCCTTTTCCAAAAATCTATGTTCTCCCCAAGCGATTAAAATCTG